GGCCTTAGGGTTTGGTGTGTAGGGTTTGGGGTTTAGGGTGTGGGGTTTAGGGTTTAGGGTTCAGGAGTTTAGGGTTTAGGGTTCAGGGTTTGGGGGTTTAGGGTTTTGGGCTCAGGGTTTAGGGTTCACCACATGGGAAGTGACACAAATGGCGGCCCCAATATACAGCCAGAATGTACCATATTGTAGGGACCCGACCCCCCCAATTTTTGGAAAGCGCAAACCCGGTATATCCCCACCCCTGGAGATCCCTACATAACCCTACATCACCCCGTTCTACATCGCGACAGAACCCTATACTACTGCTACAGGCCGCTTTACCTGGATACATACCCTAAACTCTAACCCTAAGCTCTAAACCCCAAACCCTAAGATTCTAGCACAGTTCGGGATATAAGGATAGGGTTCGTTCATCAAAAAATAGAAAACAGGGCATCCGGGACGCTAGTGTTTTGAGTTCGTTTCACATGGAGCCGTTCAATATACCAACACCTCAATGATCCCTGTAGACGTTTGGATTTTTTAGGGTACAAGCAAACCATCATGAGCAACCCGCAGCACCCCGCCAGCCGGCAATGTTTAAGTTTTTTCGAAAGAGTGTTGGCAGCGTATGGCAGCTGTAAAAAAGACTCTAGCAAGCCTTGGTCAAGCGCCTGGGTCTCAACTCGATGACGAAGCTAGGGATTGGAACTTCCGTGACAGCGCATCCTCCTGGCAATGTGTTTCTTTGAATCAATAGTGTACCCGAAACCCTAAACCCTAAACCTTGTAGTGTTTTGGGTCAGGGGATTTAGGGGTTTAGGGTTTAAGGTTTAGAGTTTCAGATCTGCAGTCGGCTTCAGAAGGGTTGGAATGACTGGAAGATTTTGGTAACCCTGATGCCCAAATTGAGGACCCTATATGCATCACATGACACAATCAAGTCCTACGCTTTGGGGTTGGGGTAATCAAAACCCTCTTATTATGTAGAGGATGAGTCACGGCTCTGAAATTCAATCTTCCCCATCCCCTTAAAAATTCTTCTTGTCCAAGCTGACATCTCAGAGGATACGAAGGGGCCCCCTGAACTAGATCTCCAGATTAAGTAACTACACTCTAAACCCTAAACCCTAAACCCAACAAAAAAAAGTATTCAGGGAGAAGAAGGCTCACTTGGGCTCATGAAATAAACATGTATTGGGATTAAACAGAGAAAACGGAAAAGAAAATACTAGCTACTATAATATGCATTCGGGGTATATCGAGGATGATGGAAGGAAAATGGAAACTACTATGGCATGTCTAACCATCTGGTCTTTTCAATCTGGGGGCCGGGTCCTTTTTAGAGGTCCCTAAATCCTAAACCCTAAACCCTAAACCCTAAACCCCTTACCATCCTATGATCCCAGGATGTCCTGCGCGAGGTGCTCTTTGAAGAGGTCTACGCGAGAACGGATGTCGCCAATGTAGTCAGCCTGGCAGCAGCTATCATCTGATGGGTTGAGGGTATAGGGTTGAGGGTTTAGGGTTTAGGGTTTAGGGTCTAGGGTTTAGGGTTGAGGGTTTAGGGTATATAAGGTTTAGAGCTTAGGGTTCATCTGAAGGTTTGAGGGAATCAGGGGTCCCTTCTTTTTTGGGGGTTCCCATAATCAGGACTGTAGAAACTACGATCTTTGAGAGCCCTGGGAGGAGCCAAAAATTAGATCCCCTATATAGACCCATCATAACCCCTGTAGTCCTTAGTCCTTGTATAATTCCCCATATGGTTCTAGAGGACCTAAGTTTGAGATCCCTTTGGGGGTCTGTGCTGGCTGATGGAAAAGGTAAAGGGACGTTACCATAATCACCTCTCCCTGCTAGCAAAAGACCCCTGCTAACAAATGGTAAGCCAAAAATCCTCGAAAGCTTAGCGTAAACCCTAAACTCATTTTAAGACGACTCTATGGAATGAATCGACGGGATGGATCTGAGGTAACAAGGAGGGTTATGTGGGATGGGTTAACGGCTTAGGGTTAAGGTTTAGGAGCTAGGGTGTCCTTCATGTCCTACGCAGATCTTTAGCCTCTGTACACAGAAACTGAATGAATCTACAGGAAAACTGGTCAAATTGTAGATTTCCCGTATGTCCTAGATCTTACTGTTTTCAGAAGTTTGTTGTACAGGCGTTTTCCTGAAACCTAAAGGAGATTAAACCTACAATCTACAATGATGTTTTCCCACATTTCCTGGAATTTCATTGTTGTCGTGAAGGTTGACATAGACGTGGTTGACATTTCATACTTGACTTGCTGTTTCGGAATGATGTTCCTCAACGAAAATCTACTGAGTTCGTCTATTTCAACTGATTCAGGATGTCCTCAATCTCCTGGCTGGCTAATTCGATAAGAAAGCAATTGCCTTCACATTTCGAATTACATGGAACCTCGTATAAGCTGTGCAATAAGCGTCCTGCTAATCACACAGAACTATTCCGGCTGGTGCACGTTTTAGCATTAGGGAGGGAGGGGTGGCGGGGTGCCTTTTTGTTGCAAGGGAGAAGCGTGTATTGTTTAGGAGGACCCCCCACCCTGTAATAGTGGCTGAAACGGATAATATGGACTATATTAGGGCCCTCTTATATTCCTATTATACTGCTACCCTAAACCCTAAACCCTAAACCCCAAACCCTAAACCCTAAACCGTGTATTGTCCAGGGTCAAGTGGTAACGTCTACGGGTTGGGAGCTGGACTTTGGCGAAAGGTTTAGTAGGAGATAAAGAACTGCATACAGGGAGCACCACCGCGGCTTACATGAGCTACACTCCTGGGAACTAACATGGAAACCCAAAAGGGGCCCTATAAAGACTACAGTCCCTTAAAAAAGGGCTTATGTGGGTTTCCATGTTAGTTTGGGGGAGTGTATAGTCTAAACTCCTAGTATCCCCCTTCAAAGCCCTATAATCCTCCCCCGGTAAGGAGCTTAGGCTATCGTACATATAGGGGCTGCTATAGAGCAAGCTACGCGGCTGCTATCTCCCTTTATACAACGTTTTTCCAAAGTGCAGACAGGGCGTCTATGCACAGAATCCAAGTGGTCACCAGTAAGCCTTTCAAAACACGAGTACACAACCCTATAAACCCTAAACACCCCTAAGCCCTAAACCAGGCTTGGGCAGAGAAATTCACAAGATACCCCGAATATCATAGTAGTTTCCATTTTTTGCATTATCCCAATAGAACCGCTATATAACCCCAAGTTTTATAGCAGTTTCCATTTTATTTTCCATTTTCCCACTAGAACCGCTATATAACCCCATTTATCATAGTAGTATCAAATACCGGCCTTCAGTCGGAGTATCCGATCGAGACCATTTACGTAAGCGTCCACGTCAGAGCCCGGGCGGTCCACGTTGTTCAGGTGCACCATTTCTTCCTGTTCTTTTTGGGTTCAGGGTTTAGGGTTTGGGGCAGCATTTCTTCCTGTGCTTGGCAAGATCCAGCAGAACCCAGTAATGGAAAGTCAAAGTGAAAGAGCATAGAAAATGAATTGGAAACCGGATATTTCTAGGGACATATAGACACTTAGATGCTCACCACATATATTTGTATGTATAGAGGGTGGATCAACGGCTTGGGCGCGGAGAAGTTGTGCGCTGAAAGATGCCATGCATTCCGGACTCTATAGAAAGGCCAGGACTACTTTGGCTCATGCTGGTTAGCTGCCGCGGAAGCGGGGAAGCTTGTTTCCGCTGTAAGGCAAAGAACCATGGAACTACCTTGGGCTGGCGCAACAATCTAGAAAGGCTTATTTAATAAACCGGGCTAAGCCCTACAGTACGTCCCCAACAATCCCTAATAAGGCATGAATCAACAGAAGGGCCATGTTGTGGTTTGTGTTCAAAACCTAAACCTTAAAAAAAGTTCAACCCTAACAAACCAACACCCCTTCAACAAGCGTACTGCGATTGTTCCTGCGAGGATTATCGTGGTCCACGTGCATGTTTGTACTTCATTGGAGCTGTATGTACGCACGCTTAGGGTCTCTAGGGAGATTATGTCCAAAGATTTAAGAATACGCCTCACATGTAGGCAAAGAAGCACGATGTTAGAAATACAGCTGATGGACAAATTTCCAGCATGGCCTAAGAACCTAATTAACCCATGGAAATCATGGATAGCTTACTTGGGGTCATGCTAAGAATATGGGGTGTTCCTCAAGATAATTCCTATATAATCCCCAATAAGGACTCCCCCACGTCCGGGTATATGAGATCCCCCTAAACCCTAAACCCCCTGTTTGAGAAACGCAAAAATCCCACACGTCTGCCGCAAAGACCTTGATCAACTCGACCATCATGTCAATGTGCCCACGATGGGCCGTGATCAGCTCCTGAAGCAGCTTAGGGTTTAGGGTCTGGGGGTTCAAAGTTAAGGGTTGAAGGCTGAAATATAGGACCAACAGGGACAATATTATATGGATACTGGAAAAGAAAATGGAAACTACTATTTAGGGTTTAGGGTTTGGGGCTTAGGGTTAAACTCGACCTGAACTCTATACGGGTTTGGGGGTTCCAGGATTTCGGGCCTAGCTGTTGCTTGCAACAGTGTATACCCAAGTGAAAGCATGCTCTTCCTCAGGGAAATAACCCTAAACCCGCAACCCTAAACACTCCCATTCACTTGAATTAAGGTGTTGGGCAAACACCTTTGAAAAAAAAACTTTGAAATGCATTTAAGGTGCGCAAGACGCAGGGGATCATAGACTACTATATTATATTGGGCTTATATAGGGAGAATGGAAAAGAAAATGGAAAACTACTATATCATATTGGTCTTATATAGGGATAATGAATGTTAGGAGCACCTTGCACGTCCACATAAACCAAAATCGTGGCCTCTCATACTGGGCATGTACAAAGATTATGTATGGACGGTGGCTCAGCATCCTACCCGAGTCGTTATAAAGAGGGTGCACAGAACCAGAACTTTGATCTGTTGTGGAGTGTGGATGGCTCTCAAGCTAGATAAGTTTTGCGGATGAAATTCATGCTGAAAGCCTGGATTGCATTTCTCCCAGGTTTTGTTCTTGATCCCCATCATAACCACCAGAATCTCGCAAAGAAGCCTGTACTATCATCCCTGAACGCTAAATGCCATACCCAAATTGAACCTCCCTAACAACATTCCCCTAGCATCCCCTCAACTGAGAAACACATCCTAAACGCTAAATCCTAAATTCTCTAGATGCATATGTGCCTGCACAAACAGTTGTCATGTCTGTGTATATATATATATACATATGAGCCATAATCCAAACTCCTAGTATCCCCCTGAATAACCCCATTATAAACCCTAACATAACCTTCCCCTGTATTGTATGGAGAAGCCCAACTCGCTCCTCCTCTTCTGCTAAGATGGTGCCAATGAGCCTGTCGTGCTGCCGGGCTAACCTGGCAGAACAGGAATCATATTCAGGGTTTAAGGTGTAGGGTTTTTTTTTTGCAGCGCCTCTTTTCCTCCCAGCTGGTTAGAAATTACCATTTGGTCAGGCGGTGGAGCTCCTTCCTTATGTTTGCCAGCCGGTTCCCCGCGTCACGTACGGATCACAGGGCACACAGCCACACTCTCGCGCTCCCATACCCCTCTCAGTAGGCCTTCAGGTCGTCTTTCATGCTGTCCGCATCCCTTCTCGTACACCCCGGTACAGTTGCAGCCCTTCTTCTCCAAGCCTTTCCTGCAGTTCAGCGTCCGACATGAGCCCCTGGCTCCAGACATGAAAATAGTCCAGAGTCGAGCCCTGCTCAGGGTGCGCTGCCCCCTCCGGTTGAAAAACCAAGGGGGCCACCACCGGTCCCATGTCTGCCGGCATGATGGCACTAAATGCCTGTGCGGTCTCACCCGCCGAACTGCTTGCCGCTGATGGCTGGTATCGCACTGTCACCTGCATAGCCTCTGCTGCCGCAGGCACTGGGATGTGTGCCATAGCCAGCCTCTCCTGAGATGCAGGGTCGCTGGCAGTCACGTTAGGTGTAGGGTTTAGGGTTCAGGGTTTAAGGTGTAGGGTTTAGGGTTCAGGGTTTAAGGTGTAGGGTTCAGGGTTTAAGGTGTAGGGTTTAGGGTTCAGGGGTTAAGGTGTAGGGTTTAGGATTC